TTTTTTTTTTTATATATTTTTTTTTTTCTATCTAGATAAGACAAGGCACAGACAAGGAACACCTAAGCTAAATTAAAATATTTTGCTGTTTCCAAGAAAATAAATTTCAGCCTGTGAAACCAATGGCTTTGTCAGTGTATTTTTTTAAATGACAATGAGTTTGACAAAAGTGGTATTTTACTCAAGCAGCAAGATCTTGATACTCTCTTTCTAAACCTTTCTGTAGTCTTCAGAGAAACAGAAAAGATTAAGTGATATGTTGCTACTTACCACTCCAGAACTTCCCGCTGGGTGAAGAATTTCTTGGATTCAGACACTGCCCATGAGATAGCTGAAAACTGTTTTTGCACCCAGTACAGTTCTTATAGCTGTACCCAACACATGTTGCACAGCTCCGGTGGCAAGGTTCACATTCTCTAGAGATGTCATCAGTGAAGAACCCATCTCCACACTCATGCACACATGTGCCACCTACAACAGAAACAGGCCCTGGCATCGTGGTATCTACCGACCCCTGTCAATCCTGGCAAAGAGGTTTCTCATCCATAGTATCTCCTTGTCTCCAGAAAGAAACATTAAAAAAAAAAACAGTATATAAGAACCCGCTAAACTTTTTGTAGTTAAACTATAATTTATTTTTTTTTTCATGAAACCTAAATTCAGCCCAATATAAAATCTAAGTCCAGAATTCCTTAAGATTGTTAGATACATACAAATTTTGAGGATTGAACGAGTCTTTAGTTTCTGGTGATCGTAAAGCTAAACTCAGGTAAATCTCATTCAGTTTAAGGGTTGGTATACTGCAGCAAACCCCTCTAGAAATTATTGTGCTGATGGCTTTTTGAGCTTCCTCCAATTTCAGATTGTGACAACAGAGTTTTCCATGAGTGTTATGCTTTTGTACTCCAGTACTGGGCACCTTCAGCAGGTAATGCACAAGAATACCATAACCTTGGGATTTTCTGTGATTTATATTTGGCACCATGTCTGAACCAGGCTTGCCTGATTTCTGGCTTTGTAATAAAGCTAAAAGATTCCTGTTCTTGTGTGAATCTCATGTGGCATTTAGTAGTTTTAACGGAGCTCATTTCAGAGGGTTTAAGGCTTGTTACTTTATGTGGTCCTGAAAGTAAAAGTAAAACTAGACTTGCAAATAGCAAGGAAACGTTTCCATGTCTTTCTGAGAGTTAAAAGCCCCTCCTGAATCAAATACAATATGTTTTTGTATTTGCCCAAAAGAGTGGAAATATATTAAGAAAAAAAACCCAAAACCATAACAAACAAAAAACCCCCAAAACCAAGGAAAAAGAAAATATGTAGTCAAATATATTTGAGCTTTTGAACCAGACAGCACCATTAGCTACCATAATCACTTTATGTTAATACGTAGGGTGGAATTCTGCAGAGTTCAGCCTCCTCACAGAGAAGATATTTATGAATTTGGGAAGCTGGGTCCAGACTTTCTCTAAAGAAAAAGTCCAAGATAATTTTTTATATATACCATGCTTGGTACTTTGCTTACCTGAGAGATAAAAGCCTTCCTTACACGAGTCACATTTGTCCTTGTCACAGCTATCACAGCTGCTAGGACAATCTTGACATTGAAGAGAACTTTCATCTCTGTAAGTGTTTTCTGGGCAGTATTTATAGCAGTGCTGCTTATACCTGTAAGATAAAGTGGAACATCACCAGTAAGTTTCTTTTGAGGTCACTGAGTTTGTTTTCTGTATATTTCTGTGTATGGTAATGGTAAAGCTCTATTTTCATCCTATAGAACATAAATTATTCCTCTAATGAAGGATTCAAAATACATTTGTTTGTATATTACTTACTCAACTAGCAAATGTTTTCTAATCTCAGGGTTTGTAAGTATAAACTAATTGTTTTTCTTTTTTAAATGTAAACGAATGCATGCTTAATTGCTATATTGTGTTTGTAAAGAGCTGATTGCTAGTAAAAAGAATGTAATCCTGTGTCATTATTTATAGCTAGATTGCATAGGCCTTTTATCAACATCTTCTTTTGTCATGGTAATTTTTACAGAGATCTCTTAACTGTGTCTTTTAAAAGTAGCAGAGTTCTTCTTTTCCACCAATTTTACTTAATCTCTCAATTAATCTATACATTTTTTCTTTTGCTTAACATCCTTACGTCTTCAGGTGTGCCTGCTGAATTACAAGTACCACAACTGGACACAGCACATTAAGAGTATACTATTTCCAAATCCAGAGACACTTTTTAACACTTAGAACCTTTCTGTTCCATATTTGTCTCTTCACATATGCAAAGTTCACTTCAGTCCACAAGTTTTAAAAGGCCTTTGTAGTGAATAATTGGCTAGTTTTTCAGCATTTCTCAAGACTTTTTCCAAAGTTTCTGTTCTCAGAATGGCAATGCTTCAAAGGGATGAGATAATATACACAGCACAGGTCTATGTAGTGAAGCAGATATTTTTGCTTGAGAAAAATGTACAGACATGAAGAATCACACAGCTCTACTTACATATAATAGTTCTGAATGCATGTTATACAGATTCTTGGGTCATCTGAAATTAAAAATGTGAAACTATGTAAATAATATTCAGAGTTAAAACCATAATGCTGAAAAGAATTTTTCCTTCACCAGATCTATGTTAATATTTTTAAGATTGAAACGATTACAGACATAACTAGAACATTACTTTCTCTGAATCTCTGGGTTTGCTTTTTTTTTTTTTTTTTTTGAGATAAGCTCTTCCACAGTCAGATCCTGTGTTTTCACAGTGACTTGTGACTTCTGAGACCTCAGCTTTAGGTCCCCAGAGGATAGGGGCAAGTGTTTTGGGTAAACTTTCTCACCAGAAAATTGATTTTTGTATTCACTAGTTTTGTTGAATGAACAGAATAAGTATTATACTACTTCTTCAGACTGTTACAAAAATGGATATGGCTTTATAATCCCATGAAATGAAGAATATTTTCTATAACCTTCCATAATCTTCTACTAGCTTTCTATAGCTTTTACAGTACTCAAATATCCCAAAAGGAGCAGAAAGGAAGGAAAAGGAACAACTTGGAAAAAGGTATTTATAAACTGTTCTATCATGAAATGGCTATAAGTTACTTATTATGTTAATAGTACTCATAAGACAAAAATTTTCACTGTGTTTGAATTGTGTCTACAATAAATAACACTTCACACACGCAGGCTTATTAGGCAACATGCACTTGGTTTTGCAAGTAGTTCTAGCAATTTATTTATGAGGTGTAAATTTTTACCCAGAAATTCTCTTTACAGTTTAGAGTACAAACAGGAACAGCAATGACCTGATCTAGTGGGTTTTTTTTGCATTATATTTTATGTTAAGACAGGAAATAATCTTAAAATGTTAACATAATTTCTGTGAAGTCTTCCTTTACTTCTAGATAAAAGGCATTAAGTTTGTCCAGAGCTTCTTTTTGAATGATTTCTGAAATACTATTATTGTTTCTGAATAAGGATTCTTCCTGAAGATTTTCTTTCCCCCCAATTCATTCCTGTGGTATTTTTTTCCTTACAGTATTTATAGAGCACTGTTAGGGATTGAATCAATATGGCCAAAAATAAGTGTATTTATACCTTTTGAAAATTATTATGCCATTGACACGTACAGTTCTTATGTTTCATTGACGGGAAGAATAGAGTATGCATCAAAGAGATACAGTTAAAATTGCTGGAGTTGCTTGCGGTTTTAGTAACTAATTCTCCATGTACTTTCTGGCTTTTACAAAGAAAGAACCCTTTTCCCTCCTTCCCTGTGTGAGGTTCTGGTGACATTTTTCTTTCTTAACTGCCCTCTCAGTTTTGGCTGCATGGATAACTATCTATATAGCTCAATTTGAGACGGAACTCAGCAGTAATTGAAAACAAAACACTATGTCAGGTTTTCCTCTGGAAAAATTATAAAAATAAAGTATTAAGAAAGTGACTAGTAAGTGAAGACCATGTATTTTGAGGACCAGCCTAGGACCTAAGAGAAAGAATCTAGGAATGAATGGGTAAAAATAATTTGTTTAGATTGCAGATTGGAATATGTATTGTGGAGAGGGCAAAGAAACATATCATAAATAACACTTGCATTGTGCTGCTTACATAAAGTTTAAGCAGAAATTGTAATTGTAAATATCTTGTTAGAAGGCTACAAATTTCATAGGAATAGCTGGTTTGCTGTATTTCACTTGGAAATGCACTTCAAACCTAAGATTTTGGAGGCAGGGGGAGAATTTCTTACAATTTTACAAAATGAAAACATGCATTGAGCTAGTGTGGCCTATGATGTTCATTTGTCAGTTTTTCTATAATATTGTGTTATTTATCAACCTTTACTGCTCTTGTTCTTTCTTTAAAAGACATACCCATTAAAGAAAATCTCTACCATTTTCTATACTTACTCTTAGTTTCTGAATTTAAACTGTTAAGGAATAATGAACATTGTTTAGAAGGGAATGGAGAGGGGCAACGATCCGAATAGCAGGCAGAGAGGAAATTAAGTATGCAGCTATCTCTGCAAAAAATTATTATGATATTTAACACATGATGTGTTTCCAAAATCTTGGAAATGAATACAAGTGAATTAAGTCTATGGAATTTTATGGATACATATGTGCAGTTCTTCAACAGTGTCTCCTTTAAAATCCGCTGAAAGCAATCCTTGGACTAGCAGTAAGAAACATCTTATGTTCACTGAGAACTTTAATTCTCCATATAATAATGGGATCTATGTGGCACAAAGTGGGTTAATACATCATGCTCCATAAGACTTGTCATGAGAACTGCTAATAATTTATCTATGTTTTATAGCTCCCATTTGCATTGATTTCCACTATGTTGAGCCTATGAGTGATGTTGGTAGCATTTGAAAGAGGATCCAACTAATTTTAAAATATTAGTCCTCAGACATGAACAAGTCCACTGTAACTTTCTGGTTTTATTGCGATTTTCTTAGATAAGTAAAGATCATCTAAAGTTCACAGAAAAAGTAATTCAGTTTCTCTCCTTGTCTGTAATAAACTGATATTCCTGTTCACTTCACGCCACCCCCCCTTCCCTTCTCAAGTACATTTGGAGTGCAGCTATGTTATAACACAGAAAAGGTACGTGCAGAGATTAAATATTGGTCAAAGGCCAAACATTCATGCATTCTGCTGGAACTCTGATTTGAAATGACTTAGTGGTTTTTTTTCTGCGCTGGGAGGGAAGTATGGGCATTAGCATTACAAGCACAGCATTGTTGTGCTGGAAGGATATTTTTGTTCAAATATGTAAACGAACACTGTAAGTGATTTTTTTTCATAATATTGCTGTGGAGGCTTAATTAAGTATTTTGTACATAAGTTCATACACGTGAAAAATGAGGTCCAGGGCATTTTGGAAGTCCTTATCACCGTTTCACTTTGTTTAAATGTTCCTGGTATTTAGACAGGTCTAGTTCTGGAAAATTTACATGGCTAGCTCACTGTTGGTTTGAGTAACCCTTACTCTGAGTATCCTGTCCAATTAGACCCTGGTCTTGCAATGACTCGTATCCATGTTCAATTTTATCTACTGTATACAATAAAGCTGGGAGTTGAAGTTAAGTGCAAGAGTACATTTGGCAGGACCTGTATTTAGACTGTAACTTGTTTTCTGTTTTGTTTATGAACTTTTTTTAAAAAATAGATTTCTTCAACTATTTACTGGCTCAGCTGTGAGCTTAGAATATACTGAATGTACTCAACTTTTTTTGTCATTAGGAGAGGCTCATTATATTCACTGCCTAGGCCTCAATATCTGGTTTACCTTTCTTTTCCAGTTCAATTAAATGTAGAGACTGGAAATTATTTTACATTACATTACAATTTTCCTTAAAGGGTCAGCCTGCAATAATTGTTTATTTTCAACAGTTACTCCTAGATTTTATTTGCCTTTTATGTTCTTCTGAACAGTAAATTAAAATAATCCAAAAGAAGTACTATAAATTGTAATATATTGTTGACAAGAATAATTTTATATTTTAATTATTTTAGACCATTTTTTCCTTAGCTTTTATGGTGTCTCAACTAAAGTAACTGAAATGTACAATCCAAATATAGTAACATGTTTGACTAGCATGGGCCCTACTGAAACTTCAGCCTTTAGTAAACCTTAAAAATGAAAATTTCTGTTGTGCAACCAAGGACTTTCATCTGGTTCTTCCAGTTTGTGTGAGAAAGTATTTGTTTGTCTGTGTCTTTTTTGTGGATTTTTAACTGTGTGTATGTGTGCACGTGTGTGTTTTGTCAATAATTCAGTTTTATCTTCTTTCTTCTTACTTCCGAAATTGTTATTTTGACAAGTCATAATACCAGGAAGTGGGAGAAAACAGTGGGAGTGTTTTAAATTAAAGGAAACAAAAATTAGGATGAAAATGAGACAAATAAACAAATAAAGAGTTTTGCTGTATAGCTAATTAGCTGAAAAAGTCACATAGCTATAATCTCAGTCACTTCACTTTAAAAGAGGAATACTATCACTTGTTGTCATTTAATTTAATTGACAAAATAAAAGGAATAAGACCTTTTTTCCTGTTGAAATACACATTTTAATATGTTATAATTAGAAGCAAGAAATTAAGCGCAGATAAGATGAAATTAAACCAAACATTAGCATTGTAATAGGCATTGCCCGAAATAATTCCATGGTTTGTATGACTAAGATGAAATGTTGATAAATACATAAATACTTGAATGTCTGTTGATAAATGCAACTAATTTCACTGGGGGAAAATGATGAGATAAGGAACCTTAAGGAACAGAAAATTTTAAAAACTGACTTTAAAAAATCAATATTGGGTCAGAATCCCATAGACTTTCGCTAGACATAGTTGATAAGTGCTATAATGAAATCTACAGCACACAGGAAGCTCCAAAATGTGGTATCAGCCAGAGAAATTATTGCTTCTAGGGCTACAAAGAACTAGTGTTTCATTCTTACTCCTAGTAAAAGAAAAGATAAAAATGAAATCAGTACATCAGCAGTACTACCTAACAATTAAGAAAGGGCATTCAGTTTATATGTCTTAGATTTTGTTCTATGTTGGATGTTATCTTTTGTTCTTACTCTGCTGGCCATTGTTCCACCTCTCAAAATCTCAGTATGCCTGTTTCAAGCATTAAAGCTGCACATTACTAAACCTGAACTTGTTGACTTGCA